CTGGTGCTGTTCAGCCAGAATCAGAGTCCTCAGTAATAACTACCACTGAAAGGATTAATATTGAGACACAGGGAGGACATGGAGGTCACGGGAAAACGGATACAGGAGCTAAAGAGGACAGGGATGTAGAGGAGAGAAAGCTAAGGGAAGAAGTGAAGAAGGGTTTGGATGAAGAGTTGTTTCAAAAAGTGAGTCAACAGATTGCCAAACAGGAAACATCGGGGACAGGGATGGGAGGGGACAGTCACCCGCTTAATACTGTTGGTGAGGGCGTCGATGGAAAGCCGATAGGAGAGCATGGATTGGGAGGACTGGAAGGGAATGGTGTTCATGAGGGATAAGTTGATCATTAACAATAAAATTGTATTTGAAAATAGTTTTGAGCCAGTACACTCTGACTTTGGATATGCACAGTTATACTTATTAAATATCTTACTGCACTTCATATAAAATAAAGAGCAGGCATATTTAAAGTATTTGTCATATTATCACGTGTATTAAATTACAAATAAATTATTCTTACACCAAGTGTTTATCATTTTAAAATTTTTATAGATATACCAAATGCACCTACCATTTTACAAAAGACCTCTCAGTTTAACGAGATTAAGCATATTTGAAACATTTTAATCTATAGATACTATAACATGACTAATATGTCTTTAAAATCATATTGTGTTTTTAATTGTAATAATTATAGTCGTCATACTATTTGTAAAGTAAATTTAGTTGAACGATGCATCAGAAAGTACATATTTAGATAAACGACTTGCCGGTAAATGTAGGGGGTCTATTTTTCTTTTAATGTGCAATATATTTATTTAAACTGTCAATTGTAAATACTGTTTAATTAGATAATTACATGAGATAATATATGCTTAAACAAAATGTGCTTAACAGTTCATTTCAATTTTATCTACCAAAATTTAATAAAACTGCATATTCTTAATAAATATTATTAATATAAGGACATCTGTATCTAATGTAATTTTGATTAATATCAAGATCAATTCACGGCCACATAATGCTTACATTTGTATTGGGTAATATTTTATGCGATAATTATGTAAATATTAAATTTGCGGTAATATATAAATAAGGATTGGTGTCTCAATTGTACATCAATATAATTTTAAACTTAATAAGTTTAATATTTAAAAATATGAACATGATAGTATTCTATGTTTTGTCGTTAATTTATTTAACAGTAAATTCTATACCAATTGAAAATCATTATGACTTAAATGGTTCAGAAAACAATTGGGTCGTATTGGTATCAGGGTCAGGTGGTTGGGATAATTATGGGCTCCAAGTATATTTCTTTTATTTTCCGTCTCATGTTTAAAACTAATATCATTTATACCCGGATGATAGTCTGATGTATACCACGCGTACCAATTGGTTCACTCGCAGGGTATACCCGATGACCGCATAATAGTCATGCATTCGGACGATATAGCCTACGATCCACTCAACCCAACCCCTGGGGTTATAATCAACGCTATTAACGGCACTAATGTTTACGAAGGGGTTCCTAAAGACTATACTGGAAATGATGTCACCATCAAGGTTAAATATTTAAATGTTGAATAATATCATATTTTAACGTACTTTGTATGTAGAACTTTTTTGGTGTACTTAACGGCGACCCTGAGCTAATTAAACATGGCAAGAAAGTGATTAAAACTAACGCAAATAATCGTATTTTTATATTCCTAATGACCCATGGTGAAACTGGTAATTATATCTCATTAAACATAATTATCAACATAATAATACAATATATATTTATACATTTACAGAAATATTTTATTTTATTTGTTTTTATAAAATTAATAACTGTTGTTAATTATTAGAAATAATAATGTTCCCGAATGAAACACTTCACGCAAAGGACCTTGTTAATGTGTTAGGCGAGTTATACAAGCAAAACAAATATGATCAATTAGTGGTTTATTTAGAATCATGTAAATCAGGTATTTTTGAGTAATAAATTAAATTAATAATTAATCAACTTGCACCAATCATGTATTTATTTAAACATAATTTTTAAAATAGGATCAATGTTTGCAAACTTATTGCCAAATGACTGGAACTTATATGCCCTTGCTGCTACACAACCCGATGAATATGGGGCTCAATATTCTTACGATTTTAGTCCCCGACAAAGTTTCCTTGGTAACTTTATTATTAATAAGATTTTTAAAATAATTTGATATATTAACTTGTTTGATTAGGTATTAACACTTGAAAAACAAAATTTAAAAACTAAATGAATGAATTTCTATAAAATATACCTAGCTACTTATTTTTCGACCATATGGTTCCAAAATGCTGACCAAAGTGATCCTGAAAGGGAGACCCTGGACACACAGTTTCAATACATAGCCGCCAGACCTGATGTATGGGTGCCCTATCAGGTGGGCGATGAGACCTGGTGTCTCAACGTTACGCAACACCCCCAACAATATGGCGATCTATCCATTGCCAAAACGCGTACTGTTTCGCAGTTTATGGGTTTGTATTTGAATTTAATGTTTAGATTTTGTTTGAAGAAATATACATTTGCTTAAAATTGATCTTTATTTTTGTTTATTTAGGACCTCTCTCACAAAATGGGCTAAACAAGGATATTAAGCAAGATATAATTATTGAAAAATGCAATCTGACCATTGACCAAGATATATATGTGTTTTTGGCACAAAAGCGTATTGATCTTACTGTTGATACTAATGAGAAGCAACGGTAAAGTATATTTCCAAATGACCTGGGCTATTCTATTATTTTTATAATTTTTATGCATATCATGCCCTTAATAGTTATCAGGATCAATTGGATGGTCTGACTAGGGGTCGTGAATATGTGGATAAAGTATTGTATGAATACGTGAATAGTATTCAACACTTAATGCCAAACATCGCAACCAATGCTATACTCAATACAAACCGAGAGCTCTATAACAGAGAGTGTTATCGAAAAATGGTCGACACTTTCAATGAGAAGTGCTTTAATCTGTCAAAAGTATTCAATTATTTAAATATACATTTATAAGTTAAAAATTCATTGATTTTTATTTATTCACTGTTTTGAAGAATACATACGCTTTACATAAAGTCCACGTATTCATCAATATATGCGAGACATTGAATGGACGGACAGAAGTTTGGGAAAGTGCTGCCAAACAACTGGACAGTCATTGCACTCAACATATAGGCCATCAATTTGACCGCCAATTTGAATTGAAATAAAATAGTTTATATGTATTAAACATTATATTATAATTTTGAACTGAAAACTGAATTTAATAAAATACACTATTAAAAACTTTATATTATTTAACATATTGTATTTTATTCATTATTATTCTTTAAAGTATAATAATAACACTTCAAACAAATAAAACCCTGTTTTCATTAGCTTACAATTTACAGTATCTTATACTATACCTGTTAGTAACAAAACTGAATGCTAGTATATTTATATATTTATTTTCAGAGTTAGTGATTGTAGGCATTAGTAACTCATTACAAATTAAACGCAATTCACTAAAAATAGTTTTTTGTTTCTAATCGGTATCTAACGACCATTTATTATTAATATTCAATTAGCTCTTTATTACATTCAATTAAATCATTATTTAACAGGGTACTATTTAATAAGTACTCTAATTATATAACAAATCAGTAATAATAATAGTAGTATTTTAAAATATGTATAATATTTTTAATACGAGAGACTGTGAAAACAACACCGAAAATGAATTCATTGAAATGCACAGTGAATTGCAGCCACTTTTGGCCAAAAACATTGGACATAATTCACACCCAATAACTAATCAAAGTGACCGAAAAAGTTGTAATCTCATTAACCGATTACCCTTCTCATTTTGGCTGACACGTAAATATTTCTCAATTATTTCATGTTATATAAAATACTAAACTAACATTTTATTTATGCTAAATAGTTGCCGTTATTATAGTTATTTCTGTGTCTATATTATTTGTGCTGGGTATGATGTACGTGACAAAAGGTTTGCACTTATTATTATTTTTTAGATACTTATAGCTGTCTGGATATACTGTATATATGTATGTAATTGAGTGCCCTAGAAATGTTATGTCATAAATAGAAACTTAATTAAATTGTTGCCAATCAAATTGATCTAGCACCAACAAGTATGTGCATGAGCCCAAACACATATACTACACTCGCCATATTATTTATAAGTCTCGGTTGCAATTTTGTAGTTGTCTGTTTGATATGTAAGCTTGATAAAAAATATTTGTAATTCATTTAGGAAAGCTTGGTGGACTGTTTTACTACAGACATCTATTCAAAACATCATCCATTTATTATGGGTT